TACTCATTCCATTCATGATTGTACTGAGTATTAATATTATTAACGTTACATCATTACCATGAAATTAGTGTCTCGTATTCCATCTGCTACTTCATTAAAATCAAAGTAAAATAAAACTGAGATGGTGTCATATCCGCACTCTGTCTCAGGCGTGCCGTCGAAAAACGTGGCGCCATAAAGCGTGTACGTTTTATGAAGTTTTATTTGATTGACCCAGTCGTGGCTTCCACTCATGACAGTCTTGTTTATCGTCTGCATAGGATCGAGATTTTTATCACAGCAGCATGTAGAGTCAATGATAAGTCACGTTATGAAATAATGAAGTTTGACGATGTTAAAGTAACGGTACCTATTATTGTAGTGACGATTTAACATGTCGCCTGTATTGCTTTATAGCCAGTTGAGATTCAATATGATCCCGCGGTGCAAAATTAGAATGAGAAATGTGGATTTCAAATTAAAAATGTCATTTTTATTATTTCCTATAGAATCACTAGCGCTGCTATCTGTAGAAAACTAATTTTTAAATCTAATACCCGACGTCACCAAGACGTTTGGGAATTTGATATTTTATATTGATCTTCTCGCCTGTTGATTTTGGACGTACGGACATAAATATATTTTATATAAGAGTATACTATTATATTCGCAATGACAATGTTGGATCAGATACTACAAATACTGTCGCCGCAGAATGACAAAATGAAGAAATCGCCTTTCAACAATAATAACGTAAAAAAGGCAAAACGGTAAGTTTTTCCGCTGGTCGTCGACAGCAATAATGGGGGGGGGGGGGGGGCGTCGAATTTGACTTTACTTTCGCTCAACCTAATAAGTTAATACCCAATAACCTGCTTTTGCTCGCAATGAATAGTTATTACTTATTATCTAGAAATCCATCAATAACAGTACAGTCTGTCGTTGATCTTAATTTAGCAAGTCAGTTTATTCAATACGTCATTTTCGTTTTGGTAATTCTCCCAAATTTTGATAATCATGCGCTGTAGCATCATTTGTTTGTTACTGCGAAGGACGACACATGATTTGTCCTGTGACATTATTGCACATGCAATTCCACTATAGTAACGCGATAGTCGTTAACTTGTTTTGTATTGTAAAACTTACCTATTGTGTATTTAATGACACATTTGACAACGCCCACACGGCCGTTATACAGAGGGTCAGCGCGGAAAGTGTACAATTGGGAAAATCCAGAAAGGTCATTTATTTTGCATTCAACCCGAACTCTTTTCAATGAAGAATTTGACGTCGTCAGCTTTTCCGCCTTATTATATAATTTTGATATTGCAAACGTATCGTTGAACCTGATCAAACACATTGAACCCGAACTCTTTTCAATGAAGAATTTGACGTCGTCAGCTTTTCCGCCTTATTATATAATTTTGATAATGCAAACGTATGGTTGAACCTAATCAAACAATAGTGATCGGACATTGTATAGCGCACAGAATTCGAAAAAAATTTCGCCGAACACAAAGAGCCCTAGAATCGTACACAACTGGCTATGCAATCGTTCATAACCGGCCATTTTCGAGGATGTTGCTCATTTATCGCTAAACACGTGATCAAAGCTTGCCACGCATGACGGTGTCCATCATATCACGCCACTTTTTATTGTTTAACTTTCTCTAGCATACGGTCACGCTGTTGTGTGAAGTATGCAGCCATTCCTATTACTCAGAGAAAATTCCCATTTTCTATTCAATTGAATAATTTTTGCCCATTTCCCATAGCGAAAACCATAAAGAATCTTTGTTCTGAATGAACGTTTGACTTTTACACCATTTTGAAGCGCTATAGGGAAATCTTCATGTATCATTTATATATCCTGATTACGTAATCGCTAAATGTTACGTGATTTCGCAAGCCATACTCCCTATTGTAAAGGCGGATTGCCTATCACCTGAAATGTTGATGAAATGGTGACTATAAAAAACCATTAAGATGTAGATTATCTCACATTAAAACTTATATTCATAGTTCACTGAACTTATTTCTGTAAAACAATGGTGTTTTATCGTCAATAAGCGCTAAAGACATTATCAAGTTCAACAAAGGGTTATGAAGGTAAACGTTCTCATCTAACTTGCAGACGACGACAGCTGTGCGCCCACCGAGAAGTCTTTGTGAATGATTGGGCGCATTGTTTTACGTCCAGAACGAAATATCTTCAACTTGTCTATAATGTTTATAACTTTCGATATGTAATGTGTGCGGGCTACTATCGTGTAGTAATTAAATGCTAAGCTGATTTAGTCATTTATCTCTTGTACAGTTACACGGTTGCGGTAAATATACCAATGCTAGGTTACAGAACGCTTCCATGGTGGCCCATTAACTTACTGTGTTTCACGCTGCCTCTTGACGAAAAAGTCATTTCCATATAACACAGGTCATATACGACAAACATAGCGTCGCAAATTAGGTTTTACGGTCTTGTTAAAACTAGACTACTCCCATTTGATAAATAACAGCCGATTTTTAATTCGCCCCGTCATATATTGACCACGATGTGTTGAATGCGTAACTGCAATATAGTTCCGGCCTTATTAACGGATGCGTAATACGTTTCTACCAACTATCGTCCTACGTTATACGCTTAATAGCCTCCTGGTATAGGTTTTAAGTCGCTGACATAAGTTGAGTTGTCAGATGGTATCCGTGTGCGGTGTCTTGTATTTAGGCAGCTTCGGAATAAGTTCAGAGCGCTGGTGAAGATGTTATGCATAGTTTTTGTTATACTGTATTTGAGATAACGCATTATGGAGATGTTAAATTACATTATAAGGTACGGTACATTTTTGCATAACAAAATTATTATTTTGCGTATTGCTAAAATCAAACGTCAAATAGTATATATAGATTAGAACTAAACCAAAAATATGACTTTCTGTAACATTTACGAAATACTTTTTGCTCAAATAGAGGGACTCTTCGTGAAACAGGGATATTACGAAGAAGAATTTGAATTTTTCTGGTTCCGTAGTTCCGACGAAACGATTGGGTCGACCTTCCTTCGTCTGCAAATAATAAGATATAATTAACCAATATGCCGTTGTATTTGCTGAGATATCGCGACGCCCGAACACACGACCCCGTCTTAGCAACGGCTGATAATATTTGCCCCGTCCCACAAACTGAAATCAAAATTTACGACTTGGCGCTTGGGAATTTTTTACCAATAACATAGTCCATCAAGCGAGAATTGCCGTTACTCCAGCTACGTCAATTTTTTTATCAACGTTCCATACTAAAACTGGTATAAGTATATTGCTCACATCACTTTGTCGTAAAGAATTGCCATTCTTTTTGTCGCGTGTCGTTAGTAAATCTTTACCGCGGCCTTTTTGGAAGCTAAAAATACATTAATTAGCGAATTTCAAAAATTTTGTATTTCGAAACCAAATACCACGCCGACCGTTTAATCTTAGTATTGTTTATTGGACCAATTCTATTTATTTATTGTTTACATCGTAAAGTTTACGTAATGAAAATTTGCAACATACCTGGGAATGTAATATGTATTTAAAGATACTGTGCCCAATCTATCGTTTTTTCACCACTAGAATAGGATATCGGTATACATATTTCAGGGTTTGGCAAATTAATATATTCCATTTGTAATAAATATAATATTGCTCGCCTTCACGACTACCTTACGCAACTCATAATACCAGGTTTTACTTTTCAATATATCTAAGGTCAATCAATACGCGGGTTTAACTCTATGTCCTTGCAAACAAAGGCACCACTTTAATAAGCAGGTTTCAAAATAGAAAGGCAAATCCCATGCGATTGAGTCGGGATTTTTATTAATATACATATGGATTTACCGACGGCTATCTAATTGAATGGCTGTATTGTATTCCTCGGTAAGCCGGAGTCAACAACAATACGAGCTTTTAAGAAATAGGTTACTTACTTTCAACAATACGACTTAACAAATACCCCATAATTTCGTGATTGTAAATATGGACCATAAAAGATTGAACCCCCTTGCAGATAGAATCGGTACTCGCGTGATTTTAACATTAGCCCAAGCACGATAAAATAAGAAATTTTGCAGCTTTTGTGGGCGAGTGATAAAAACGAAAAGATTTGCGTCCATTTATATGAAAATTATTCTCGGAAAGATTGTCAAATTTTTTGACATATTCCTGCTGGGAAAGTGGTGAGAACTAGTTGTCCATTTCTGATCGGAAAATGTCAAATTTTGCGCTATTGTATATTCAATATATTCAAAACTGACGTTTACCGGCTTCCGATTTTATTCTCGGATTATCAGTTATTGGTATGCAAATCGGAGAACTGAAGAGACGTGCACAGCGGGATACCTTTGTTCTTTATCAAAACGAATTTGTTTTCGCTCCCAAGGCGGAAATTTGCATTGTCGAATATCCCTGAAATCATTTTATAATAGGGGGTTCCAGTAACTCCCTTTTATTTTTAGTGGTGTTGCCATTTCGACGTATGTTATAATCATATTCTATGATAGCGCCACGCCTGATGAATTGTGTTTACAACCCTCTGATATAGTAAAATATTGAATAAATATTTGTCTTCTGTTTGGGTCGCCCTCTTAACGACATTGGTAGGCGTGCTATTTTGCTTTCGCGGCAGATGTCTTTCGATATTTGTAGTATCATTTGTATTCTCTTGTCTTCATAACTGGTTTTATATCTTATTAAATTTGTAATAAATTTTTCGTTTTCTACATCTTCAAAGAATTTGTTAGGATTTGTCACTGACCATAAAAGACATGAATTTTAATGTCCAGTCGTCCATCTTTTTGGGCAAACAAAATTTGTAGACTTGTTGACTACAGTTTTATGGCTAGTTTTGAAACTTGCATCGTTCAATTTGGAAGATAGTTGAATGATCTCGAATTCATACTCGATCATACATGTTTTTTAGAATAAATTCTTCTTAAATTTTTTCGATAAACGAAGAAATCATTTCCCTTTGTATTTATCTTTCAGAAAGGGTAAGAAACAAGAAAAGAAGCCAGTAGTGAAAGAAGAACATCCACCTTACCTTGACCAAACCCTCATACAACCAACGCCACATGATATCAGTCTTCATCAAGTGGTTCACTTACCACCTCAAATCGATCAAAAGGAATGGGTCGCTACACAAGGTAATTTTTAACCCTGGGATAATTGTGCAAGCCAGCATAAGACTGATTCTGCAAAATACATGCTTTCAAGTCTTATGTTTTCAATTTTCATGTGGAAATCACACAGGAATCATTGTTCAAGTAACTGTAGATTTAAAGCAGGGTTTGCGCAATATTCGTTCACTAACAAGTTGTCCGTCGTTTGACAAACTCTACTCCATATCTGAATATAGAGTCTTTTGAGAGCGTCGAATGTAAACAAAATGGAAGACGTATACGTGGCATCCCATTGGGTAATGATGTCACAATTGTATATGGAGTTACTTGGCTAATGAACAATGGTGATTCGTGGATCACGCCACCTTTACAATGCCAGCTAGGCCATTTGTCAACAAAAGTCTCACGTGATAGTTCTTTTGATTGATTTGTGTGCCCAGTGGTTTTTCCCACTGACATGAATAAGGTTATACTGTCGAAAATATTTGTTTAATTTTGTGAGAGTAGTAGCATGAGGTGTGTCTAAGTTATCCAATACCCATTGGTCAATTTTGAATTCTATTTTGGTTACTGCATACTGGTATTATGAATTTATGACCACGCTGATTTCCAAGTTTTGCATTTGAATGGTAATTTTTTGGCTAGTTTGGGTTTGGTCTGCTATTTCTTTTACAAAACATGCGTCTAGTTTCGATCGAAACTAGTAGTCCTTGCAATTGTATTGTGTCAATTTCGGTGCTAAAATTCTTCCGTAAACATAGGAAGCTGGCTTCCATTGATTACCGATCAAGCCTTTGTTGTACTGCACAATGCTATTCTGTACTAAAACATTGGTGTCGGGTTTCTGTATGATGTGAAATTCCTGGCTATCTCCCTTAAAAGGATTGTCTACTTGGATGTAATGTATATGCCATTGTCGCCACGCATTTCTCTTTTTGAATCCATTGATGTACATTATTCTCTTGTTACCTATATGCCCATTGGGCGAATTGCCATGTTTAATTAAGCCATGTTATAGTTGAACAAAGCTGGAATTATCCTTGGATTATATATGGTTGTGTGAAACTTTGCATAGATGAGTGTCTAGTTACTTATTGCCTAATCAAGAAGTTTTGTTTGTATTGGTGATGATGTAAGACTGTGTATTTTCTGACACATCTCCTACATTGTGACGTTATTAGAATCATAATCACATGTAATATGAACCATCCACTTGTCTTCCGCAAAAAGGTAACGCTGAGTGGGTGATTAGCAATGTAAATTGCACAATGAGCTGGTATAATAGAACAATTTGCATTTCTAGTCAAAATGGCATAGTGATGCTGTCAGTCATCCTCTAAGTTAACATGTGAAAGTTGTTGAAATTCACTATTCTGAAATCCACTTATGCTTGTACTACCTTTTTTCTATCCTAAAACGCTGAATCAGCAAAATTATATGAGCACTTATAAAAGTGACAATACGAACTATGGATTTTACCTTGTTATGACAGTTTGTGATTTTTGATAGAATCCTCCTCTAACTCTATTTATATAGCACCACTGTTGATATACTAAATTGAGGTGGTTGCTGAATTTCAAGTTGTGTACAATGGAATATTTCGCAATTCAAAGCCTAACATATCAATCCAGTAATGTCAATGGCATATATACTGAATAACATATATTCCATTGAACTAACACCATAGAAGCAGTGGCCATTGAGATGTAATGTTTTTTATTCAGTTTTGATTGCCAGGTGATGCTAAATATACTGCATCGATTTACTTAGCATTCTCACATAAACGTTGCTTTGCACAAATGGAAGGCGCAATACTGAACAAAGCTATTAATAATTTATATGCGTGCAGTAGTCTAGGTTTAAAATAGATTGATGCATTGAACTTTTTTTTTAAATTGTATTTGACCATGCCATTGTCATTTAAGAACCCATTAAATATCTCTCATTTTTTAAACAAAATATTTTGAATAATGGTTCTTTTTTATTTTATAAATTAAGTGCATGAAATTAGCGATATCGTGAAAGTGATCTGAGCCTGGGGCATATTTATTCAATATTATAGATTATCGCGTTGGTGGTATTTGATTGGTCCATTTATGTTTTGCGGACTTGTATTTAAAATATGTTTATTTGATGTCCAAAACAGTAAATCTCTTTTGACACGCACGATTTCCTTAAGCTTGCAATGACAAGAATTGAGAATAGGCGCACCCCCTCCAGCAAGGATTTTATATGTCACTAGTTCTATTTATCTGTGGATTTAAAACATTATGTTATTTTAAAATTTACTTTTTATTTTCAGTGATTTCTTTGTTTCACAATATAAATCTCGAATACGGCACAATGTCAGAATTCTGTACTGCTGAGTCGTGCCCAACTATGCAAGGCGCTGGCCAAATGTGAGTAAAAGTTGAATTTATAATTTGAACAAATATAGAAATTTGATATATTTGTGGTTTTGAGGAATTTTAATACTCAGTTTTACAGTTTTCTAAGATGAATTGTAACTATTGTTACACAAAATTGGTTTATATTCAAAATCTGATGTAAAAAATACAATTACAAGTTTCTGTTACTCGAAATTAATTTTGGAACTAGAAAATGTATTGCGAAAGGCATTCAAAATAAAGTAAGCCCATGCCAGAGTTTGTACTAATGTTGACAAGTGATTGGTCTAATCCTGGTTTTATTACAGGCAATATTGGTGGACAGATGATCGAGGAAAGAAATTGAAGTGCACAGCACCGCAGTACATAGACTATGTTATGACATATTGTCAAAAATGTGTCAGCAATGAAAAATTATTTCCAACTAAATATGGTAAGTGTATATTCAAATATTTTGACAATTCCAGGAGTTTAATAAACTAAATGTTATTTTGGACACCCCACACATTTTAACATGGTTCAGTTTTATTACTGTTAGCACAATAAATGCTCAATGACACCCTCAAATAGAACCCATCATCTTCTGCATAGTTTTGTATCCTTTTCAAATACCTAGTTCTCTGCAACTTTCATAGTATATATCCATCCATGTACTAACTAGATAACTTTTTTGATTCAAACCATTTTGTCGTTCATTCAAAAGTGGATTCCTTTCTCAGTTTATTAATACTTTCTCTTTCATTTCAGCGCACAATTTTGTTCCCACTTTCTACACAGATATTTCAAAGATGATGCGTTTTCTTTTCCACGTTTTGTCTCACATGTATTCATCGCACTTTTCAAAACTTCAACAATTTGGTCTTCATGGTCATCTGAACATTATTTTCATGCATTTTATTCTTCTGGTTCGAGAGTTCGATCTCCTCGACGCTAAAGAACACGCTCCGTTAGACGATCTCATCGACCTTATGGAGATTTTAAAGACAAAATGCACAGATGCGTGCACGCGTAACCATCATCGAACATCTTCCTCTACAAATTCAAAAAGCGCTTCCGGAACGACATCATCGAGTGGCAGTGGTACTCCGACTTCTTATAATACTTTTTCAAGTTCACAATATGTATCAAGTTACAATTCTAGAAACAATGGAATGGCAGCTTCTAATTCTAAAGGATGGATTGCGTCTTGAGTATTTTCCATCATATATACTGCAATCCGTCCACAGTAAACTTATTGTATGTCACATACATATGCAGCTCAGTATGGCAACTGAGTTTCGATGAGAATTTGCGCGATAAACATACTGTAAGAAGGTATATGGAGCAGGATGGTCTTGCATAGGCGACTGCCTCCTGTTCTCTAGGTACGAAGATGAAAATAAGCCAGAAATGGTCATTGCTTCTTTCGCGGATCTGCGGAAGCAAAATCACGCATGCATCATGCATTTTTAGACAATACGCTAAGAACTCAGAATTTTAGTGATTCAATTATACACAGTTTCTTTATTTTGAATATATTTGCATTCTCAATAGAACTTGTATTTCAGTCAAACTCAATCCTGCAGGAATATGATTTAATTATGGGCTGATGGTCTCTCAATACAAATATGACCAAATCGTGATATTCAAATCAAGATCAATTTTGGGAAATATTCTATGTTACCATACTGACCATAATTGGTTGTCTCGTGATTTACTCAACTGTACTTCAAGATATAAATAATTTTGCTATTGCAAATCAGACAAAGTTCCTTCAACATTAATTTTAAGGAACTACTTAGTTTAATATACTCAAGATATTTAAATTTTCAATTCTGATTAAATGAAAAGTATTGTGTGGGATATATGAAGCTGTTTTTCTGTACGTTGATACCCATATTATGGAATCTCTTATATATTTATAATTTTTCGACTGTTGTCTCTGGGATAGTTAGGGCTGCTGAAAATGTGATGACGCGGCTCTTACTATGTCGGAAAATATATATTTATGAATTAGTGTATGGCCTAGCATAAATCAATGATGGTATACTAGCTCTGAGATGAATAAGGCAAAAGTTATATATATTTATGATTTGGCAAATATAGTTTTTGTGAGAATCCTGCACAACGCCCACAAATGAGTGACATCTGTCTTAGTATTTTCCTTTCTCTTCAGTCTTTCATATATTCATAATAACATTCATGTTTCCATTTATGAGCATCAAGGAAATGGGTTTCAACCATGGTTAGGTAGCCAAAATTCAACTTGTCTCCTCGAAGTTTAATTTTATTTTACTACAGCGCCATTTTTGTTCATTTTCTCATATTTCTTTATGCACACTCCCTTCTCTCATTGTCTAAATATATCATTATTTTCACGGTTTCATCTGATTAAAAATTGAGACACAATTTCATTGCAAAAATCGCTACTTTGAAATATGCTTGCGCTACTTTCTAGCTTAGACTAACCCATATAACTTATGCAGTAATTCTATTATCAATACAAGAATCCATCTGTCTTCCAGTAGAAGTTCATTCATCCCATATTTTGATTACTTGTATTGTGGAATCCGCATGTTTTTTCAACCTACGAATCCATTAATGAAATGATGAAGGCCTTATACTTCCTTGCTGTTATTGATCCCCCTGATTTAGTAGTTGAAATGATGCTGACCATATGTAGATTATAATATATAGTCAATACCAAATAACGTGTTCACTGCCATGTTAACTGTAAATGTAATATAATTTATGATGTATTTTGCAAAAATATGATGACCCTAATTCTTGTCATTTATTGTGTTTTTATTTTGAAATCCTTAATTTGTCATTACATTTTGCTCAATTACAAATATTGAATATTTTATTATGCCTGCCTGTAGCCGAATTTAGTTTGTCGTTTTCAACAAAGTTTTGGGGAATCGTAGGTTTCGGCTCACTTCGGATAATTCCCACTCAAATATTGGGGCCATACACAAATTTTCATCTATGCTGAAATGTGTAATGTGTTTATCTCATCCAATGAAGCAATCTTTGAGTTGAACATCGAATAATGCCCAATTAGGCATAGTTCAATGTTAATATTCTGATAAAACGCAGCGCATCTTTTCCATTTCTCGATATGCTTTTACTCCCATTGTTATTATTATTATTGTTTTTCTCTCTTGTTATTAATAGTCCTTCTTCATTTAGGTGACGTCATATGAATAAAAAGCACTGTTACAGCAATTGTTCAACAATTTATCGCTATTTTATTGGGAATGATTTAAGATTAGGTCGAATACTTTTAGTTGTTACATATATATATTGAGAAGTTTAGTTGTCAGATTGCAAGAGTCATCTGTAAAAGTACAACTGGCCATGTTGGCAAATTTGGAATAAAACTTTTGTCGATGGCGCTGAGTTAATGTCTTAAACTTGCCATTGATAGCGGTGGCTGTCGCATTTCAGCTGCGATCAGTTTAGGCCGCTATCCAACGGAACAAGCGGATTTTCGAAATTCAATCATTCAACGCGTGCAAACCTGTGAAGTGGTTTGTCTTTTTAGTACTTCTGCGTGGTTTTACACAACTCGCGATTTGATTTCAGCGTTTCGTGGCATTATGGCGTGTCACATCGATATAAAACCAATAAAAACTCGACGTACATGTGAATGAACAGTTATTTGTAAGCCTCTAGTCATTTTCCATTCTATTCTTCTCTTACCGAAGTTTATTGGAGTGATAAAAGCTAAATTTTAAAGTTGATCTGAGCAGCAACGTTAAAATCATGCTACTCAGCGCACCGTGTTACATTGGAATCTATTTGGAACAATTAACTGATATGGTATTCTCAAATAGGATCTGTGCTGGTAACCCGACGAGGGCGTCCAACAAATTATCAAACTGTCTTCCAGGTAAGAGTCGCAGCTTTTTCGGGCCAAATTTTAATTACTGTAACTAGACTAAAACTTTTGGGGAGACGCTATTGAGAGATAGATGGATAGTTTATTTCGAAAACTCCATAACAAACATAAATTAAAAATGGAGAGTTCTGGAGGGCAAGCAAAACCTATAAAACATGAGAAGTATCTAATGTGCCTGCCCACCAGCACGCACACAAAAACACAAGCCCAATTAAATGAGGCTTGGAACAAACTTAGCAAACATTAAACCTTCGGGCTGTTATACTTTTAACAATTACGTTGATATTGACCAATACCTACAACCTCATGCAAAGATGATGTGAGGAGTGGTTATAGTTTATACATAAACTTCGTAAACACAACCGAAAACTGGTAAACTGCCAGCAAACCTGCCAAACTGACTGATGTCAACCACCGAGCCTGAGAAAAATGTCTGAGCAACTGCCAAAATTAAATTAATTAATAGGGTAAAGAAAGTGGATGCTCGAGGAAACACCCATTTCAGTCACATCTGCTCCGGCTATTTAAGGAATATTCTACTGTGGGTAAAGTTGGCCCATCCAAACAAAAATTGAAAGCTGATTATTTTAAGACACAGAAAAATTTATTGCAGCATTAATAAAACTCACAAATTAGAGTAAAACTACATTAGCACGAAGATGTTTAAACTATTATCAAGGTTTATTCCATCGGAGTTCTAAATAATAGACTCCTCACACACAAATTCGACTCCGTCTTTCGCAGGCGCAGACGACAATTTTTTCTCCAATACAACTCTTTGTGCCGTTAGTCTTTCGTTGCATTACCGTATTCTGGCTTAGCTGTAATTTAGAATTCAATGTTCACATGGGCTGTTGTCAATATACAAATTGAAGATGCCCAAGGTCGGACGTCCAAGGAAACGAAAGCGTGATGATGACGATGGAGATTATGATTTCGAAGAGGAATTGAAAAAAGTGAGCCATTATTTACCATAACGTTAACATTAAGTTATTCAAGTTTAACACTTAACCGGTACCGAATTACGTTATTCTGATAAAAGAATGCGGGAAGGATAATTGTTGTTTCCAGTGAGCTCATTAAGTATGGAAGATTATGAGTTACGGTACCATATGTTGTCTCTACAGCCCTAAGCTGCTAGAACTTGCTGGCCCATTGTTACATTGATTAGAACTCTGCTAAGTAACAATAAGCTACCGGTGCTCTGTGAGAGAACCGTGGTTTAATTAGGTACTGTGCGGCAATTGTTTAGCTGGCTAGACGTTCAATATTTCCTGTAAGTAGTTGTGACCGTAAACTCTTGCATAGCCCCTCACAATACTATGATATGTTAACTTACTATACTTTTTGGTCACCCACCTACCAATGAGTAAGAATTGTAACATGTAACGTAAGCCTAACTTTAAATTATCATACAATGCTTCTCTCATGACTGAGCAATATTAGTGAACCTCTACTACCCAAATCCTAGTACTTGAGCATGATGCAGTTTCTTGTTTTGATCTATCGTCATACAGAATAAGGTGGAAGTGGTGACTATAGATCGACGAACGCGGGTAAAGCACCTGAAAGCTCTTTTGAAGAGAAGCAATTTCTATGCAAACTCGTTGCTTACAATCATAACTGAACAGCAGAAAAAACATGAAGTTCGTACAAGGCGGAAACTTAAAAAAAGAAGAAAACAGATGAAGGTGATTCAGGCTATTCATTTGCTTTGATATTAAAATTAAAGCACAGGCTATTCATTTGCTTTGATATTAAAATTAAAGCATATTTGTTTACCTCAGCAAAACTTCGAAGTGGTTATGTTTCTAGTTCGTAATTGTGATCGAGTTGTGTTTGTGAGAATAAAATTTGTTAAGTCAAAAGAAATGAGATAGAATACAGTTGTAAAATAAAAACAATAAAATCAAGTTGTTAGCATTGTGAAAAATCAAAGACCTGTGGAGCATCGAAGATTTCAAGTATTTTAAAATTTTATTGTATGAGATCAGTAACTGTTTTTAAAGAAGTTGCTCAGAGCATGGTCTCCTGCACTCACTCATCAACCAAGATACAGATTGACACAAGTTCATGTCAATACCATCAAGAAATAGCTGGGAGGTATTGAATTCCACATGATTGAAGTTGTTGCAAAAACTTTGGGGATAAATACCGTAATCATATTATGTGATACTGAATTTAACTGGTTGTTAGAATTTTACATTTGTAGTATGTACATAAAGACTGACTCAAAATTTCCTGTTTCCTTTCTTTCAGAAAATTGAGTCGCAGATACTCAAATATTATGGCAAGAGGTACACAGAGATTCCCACGCCATACAGGTATTGGTTGAAATCTGAAGAAGATCAAGTTAGTTTCGGAGAAAAAATATGCTTCAGAGTTGCAAGGACGTGCAGTCATTTGGTCAAAAAGGTTCACAGAATGATAAAATTCGACAAGTATACGAAAATATCGTCATCCGATAATGCCGATATCAAACAAATGGCTGACATGTTTTCTAACAACCCACAAAATATTTTTGAAACAATTGGTAAAACTGGTTCTACGATGGATACAGAGTCTGTAATTTCATATAGAGTAATCCAGAATACATCCACTGAAATTGACTTCGTACATTCAAGGGATTCACCCTCATTTGAAGAAAATGTCATAGAAGAAAAAATTACGAATGTGAAAACTAATTCTGATGATTTCAAGTCTTGTAATTCGATATCATCTGACAGTGAATCTGATTCAGACGATCGAACTTCTATGTCCTCGAAGCCATCAAATTCCTCAAAATCGAGCTTTGAAAGCAGAATAGATGGCAAAATTGTTGACAAATTGTTACATGACATGATAGATTCTATTTGTGTGGAAAAAATGCCACTGGGAGATCCTTCAAAACCATTGTACTCTTCAAAGTCTGACGTTGAAAACAAGATGAATACAAAAATTGTGGAAAATTTACTGCAGGAACTGATATATTCTGTTTGTGTGGACAAAGTGCCACTGATTACCTCCGCAAAACCATTCACTTTAACATCTAGTATTGAAAGCAAAATAAATGAAGAAATTGTAGAGGACTTATTGAATAAATTATTAAATTCTATTTGTTCAGAAGAAATGGCAGCGTCACACACTAAATCATGTGAACATCTCTCTAATGATGATGTAAATACAGTCAAATTTAAATTTGATGAGGAACAAGCTGTTGATAAAACTCCGGACCCAAAAAGTAGTAATTACACAAGCAAAATGGAACCTACAAAATGTCGCAGACACATTGACATGAATGCCAACGCTGTACTCACTTCAGAGTCTCATATTGTGGACAACCTTATTGTAAATACTTCTGATAAATTTGTCTCAAAACCGGCTACAGATTTAGCAATGAATGAAGGTAATTTTGAGACAGAGTCCGAGAAGCAATTGAAGGACTTGAGCACAAATAATGATGATATCATCCAAGCGAGAATCATAAATATAGTCAGCTCACCGAAATTTGAAGGAATCTCCCCAAACGAAAATAATTCTTGTTTGAATAGTCAATCAAGCCAGACATCAAATTCTACTACCTCTAAAGGTATTCAACATTTTAACATATAGAATATGATAATTAAACCTATTATTCAATTATGGAATAATATTGATATGGATAACTTTCGTTACATTTATTAAAAAAACTATGAAATAATTTTTCTTTGTAAAGATAACAAATTATAGTGATTATAATGTTTATTAAACCTATTATTTATGTTTGATTACAGTTCCATGTCCAGTTTGCTGCAAGCTTATGAGTGAAAATAAAATAAATGAACATCTTGATATATGTTTGTCTGGAGGTGAAAGAAGGGAATCACTGCGTGCATCTACACCAGCTCAGAATAAAATGTTATTAGTGTATATGTAGTTAATACTTTGTTGAAGATATTTCATATCCGTATAGCATTCAATATTTGGGAATATTTGTTATAGGGTACCAAGAAAAAAGAGAGCTACTAAAAAGTCAAATATTGTAACAAATCCAGATGTCTGCAGCTCGGATATGTCTAATCAAAAAGCTACACAAGAAGTAAGAACCACCTAAATCAGTATTTGGAGGCATTAAACAAACCCTGTTTGAGGCTTCAGCCTATTATGAAAGGAATTTAGTCGGTTGATCATAATGTTGATTATGTCATGTATAGCTAGTGAGTAGTGATCACACTCTAATGATATTTTAACAAAGTTATTTGATATTTATTAGAGACATTCCCTATTATGATTCTTATAGATTATTCAAGTTGGCAGTTCAATGGAGAGAGAAGAAACCTTTGTAGAGCATTGTATTAAATCACCTGTATGTAAAAGACGCAAAAGAGAAAGTATTTCTGAGAAAGAGGAAACTTCTGGGATTTTGGAAAATGCCAAACTTAAATATATTAATGCTACAAGTTGTAACCTTCCTGAAGCTTGCTCCAATGATAAGAAAAAGGACCTTAAGTTTGCCCCTCAGATTGATTCAACATGCGAAGAAAGATTCTCAGAAGAGCTTGTAATAGAGAAGGATATATTGGAGAGTAGCACAAGTGTTGAGATGACAAGAGATTCTTTGATGGAGGATGTTAACAACGGAGTTCCTGATTTGGATGATTTGTTGGGTTATGGTGAGGAACCAGAAGCTATTGCGGAAGAATCCTCAGATGAAGAGGAATTTGAGTTTATTCCTCCCACTGAAGTCAGAAGATCAACAAGGGCTTCTAGATGTAGAAAATCATTCAAAGAGTACAGTGACGAGGTTTGTGGACTTTAATTGTTTTAATATTATGAAGACTCGTTCTTTCTCACAGACAAACCTTATATCAGTGCAGGTATAATAAGGGTGAACTTCTTCTCATGTAGCTGTATATTGATCTTACTGATAAGAGGTAATATTATAGTTGAAATGTTTGCTGCCAACAGGGCTTGTCAACCTTATAACCTATTGAAATAGCAACCTTGTGAAATATCAAGAAATCGAGTGCAAGACAGATTTCCTTATCCAAAATTGAGGCTAATTCTTTTGTGATCCGTAGCTATTTCGTATGTATTGCCAGCACCAATGTCTTTCTTATTATTAAGATATGATGCTTGTTTCTTGGTTTTGTGTGGCTAGATCGTTACTTTTTCTCTTGTTTTTAAATGTGATTGTTAAGGAGGCAGATGAGGAAGAGGATAGTGATGAGGAGTTGGTTGAGAAACGTGAGAAAATATTGAGTAAGAAACAAAGGAAAGTTGAGGAAATGAGTAATATAAAGAAAGTAAAAGAGAAAAAGCAGAAAACGAAGGACATGTACTCTGTTGGTGGGTATTTAATAGGGGTATTTTGTACGGCCTCTTCTGCAGTAAAGTGGAAATGAAACATTAGAAAATTTTCTGTATATGTCATGGAAAGTAGAAAATCCCAATTGAATGGCTAATTGTAGTATCCTGCGCACTTATCAGTTCATGTGTGGAAATAGTTGATCAGTTCAATGTTACAGAAGATGAAAACCATATTCAATGTTTACATGAATCACCATGTGACTATGAGGAATCCAGCAGTTATCTTACACAGAATCATCCTGATGAGATTTGAATCTGCAAATTCTGCAGGGTAACCACTAGCGAGATTGTGTTTTTCTCGATATACCAACCACTGATACTGTGTCCTGTTAGTTTATCTTCTATATTCTATGAAACAACTTTGTTTTCCAACTAGATCAAAAGCTCTATTTCGAAATTATTAATTCAACTTATTATCTATCAGCTTAGTGTCATAAAGTAATTTATATGAGGAGACATGCTGAATTAATTTAGGTGTGTTGGCCTAGCAGTTAAAACATTAGAATTAACTGTGTTGGCACACCAGATTACACGTTTCCAGTTCAAATCCCATTCCCATCACCTCGTCCAGGGTTAAGAAACTGGGTAAGCACATATATTATTTTATTACTATTATTTATTATTACTATATTCATATTTAAAATATTATATCAACCATCTTTTAATCAGCAGTCTACTACAAATTACAGGTGATATTATTGAAGTGAAATGGGGAAAAGATGAATCCATGGTTCTATACAAAGCTAAAATTTTGGACCGATGTCCAACTGATGATGATGATTGGACATATCTTGTACATTATATAGGATGGTCTGATAGTTTCGACGACTGGATTCTTACATCTGATATTAACTCAGGTATGCTCTAATATTTTCCATACATCAGTGATACTGAACAATTAGGAAGTCTATCCAACTATGATGATCACTGCTAACTCATGCCCAATAATATACTATTTGAAAAATGAAATTTCAGGTGACCGGAAATATTTGGGGTTTGGTGTTAGTACACTTTTAAAAGCAACACTGTGATTTAATGGGAATACCTTTTTTAAATTAATGGGTTATCCCCCAAAACTAGGATTTCCATATTCGCCCCAAAAAGCGAAAAGTAATGTAGCTGTCTAGACATCCATATTATATATCTTATTACCCCTTCTTGTGTAAACAGTCATAGAATCTTTTGATGAGGATTGTGAGAATTCAAGTTCTGCTCTTGTTCCTGGTTCTGATGAAATACTAACTGAAGAAGATAAACGAGTTCTTGATGGAAAATTCTATATGCCAGGATCTGGGAAATCAGCCCCAAAAAGCATGTTAAAAGAAAAAAATGGTGTCAGGTTGTAGTCAATGTGATATTTAAGATAGTATTTTCATATTTATCTGTGGAGAAGGAAATAGATAAGATGGCCTAATCATATAGCAAACCGCAGCCTCTCTTGTCCGGTTATCAGTCCATGTTGATTATGGGAATAGTAGTGATGATGTCATCGTAATCATACCGTAAGACTTTAATTGCTCAAAATGAACATTTTTTCTATTGAAACGCTCGAAATCGGGAGTCAAATATTTGTATATACCAACTCAAATTGATTCAAATTTTCCTTTTATTTTAAACACACTATCAAATAATTGTTAAAATGTTCAACCAAAAGACAATAATTATCTAACAGTTACATTTCAGTTTCATAATACTTGTATCTTTAACTTAGATACTACAATGATATTGAAGTTAGTGCCGCTCAACCGAAACTTTTTACGGGAGGCGTGTTGAGAGATTATCAGATCACAGGATATGAATGGATGAAAGTGTGTAGATTCACTTGATATTATCCATATCGTGCCATAAAATTAAGCTATCTTTTGAATGTTTAGGTATCTTTGTAATAGAGTCGAAGGCCATGTACAAATTAGGGCCCCAGAGTTAGGGATTGGCTTGTTCATGTGATGGAATCTGAGTCTTCGTTTAAAACTCCTAATAATGATAATCGGAGTCCAAATTTCCAACAGAAAATTAAAGGCATCAAGTCGACTTAGCATTCTCAACAGGTATTTAATTAAATGGCCTGGAAGTCTCCACGAGCGACCGCAACTGCTCTTAACTGCGTTTATGATAAAACCAAATACTAAGTCTCATAGACTCTAGTCTAAGTCTCATAGGTTCTGATCATTAGAGATTAGACAAACCTGATTATCTTTTATTTATTCTCGAAATATAGTTGATTTCATAAGTGACTTATAAGACAGCAAAGTGTTTTGTAGATAAGGAGTATTTCTTGTGTATCCCTTAATAGGTATTACATTGTATATATTTGCAGACTCTTCTAGAAAACAGTGAAAATGGGATCCTTGCAGATGAAATGGGACTTGGGAAGACAATTCAGTGTATTGCTATTGTAGCAAGAATGATAGAAACTGGAATCACCGGACCATTCCTGATTTGTGCACCAATGTCTACCATTCAAAATTGGTTCCTTGAATTTAAAAGATTTGCTCCTAAGGTCAGAATAGTTTTATAGTGTTGGAGATCGGTTGGTTTATAGCTGGATTTCTCAAGCTATGGGGCAGCGGTGTGGTTTTCTGGGGTCATGTGCAAAGGCCGTTGCTAGATACTGTTCGTGATGACTACATTAATTTAAAGTAAATTGACTGTGATGTGTTTATCCTTTTACTCTCACTCGACAATGTGGCGCTTCATGCTAAGCAATTGGAATACGCTCGCCAGGTTCAAGTCCTATGTAGGGATAGTTTTGTGCTGGACTCCTCGCAGCAATAGGGTTCACATAACATAGGTTGGTTATGGCTTCCTCCATCATCAACACCATGTTTTCAAACACAAATAACTGGCCAACTAATCCCATACCCGACATGGACTGGTAACTGGACAAGAGGCCGTGGTTCGGCATATGATTAAGCTATTTTATCAGCTTCTCCCCCAGGATAAATATGTAAATCCTATTATATCTTGGAGGATTTTTTTAATTTAATACTCTGTGCATAAGATAACTGATGAAAATATATTGAAAGTAAAACTAGGTAATTTTTGGGGAGCCACGAATCATGGAAATTTGTGAATCAATTTTGCGAAGAGATTTTCAATTTTAATTTTTTTTTATATTATCTGTATTTACGACAGATTCCTCTATTGCTTTACCACGGCACTGCAGCAGAAAGAGGAACCCTCAGTTTATGTATGGTGCAACGTGAAAAGAAATTGAAAACAAAACCTGTTGTCATAACAACGTATGATGTACTCATGCGTGACAGAATGGTTCTGCAGGTATGAGTAGCTTTTTTATTAGTGGAAATAGATTTTTTTTTCTACTTTTAATTCAATCTGTATTCATGGATTGGTATTAATTTACATCTATTCATAAACATTTTACTAAAGTTCAATATGACAACGAAAAGATTCATGTTTCATCAGTTTATTCAATATGGTTCACCAATTACGCATCCTAACATATCATGATTTGATGGGTTAAAGCGTTGGGCTAGCTATGTTGGTGTCACCCGCCAAAGATGTCGAGGTTGAACCCCATGGCCACCACTTCACCCCGGGTGTAATCAATTTGTCAGGCAAAGTCGAATATGAAAGATTAGGATTAGGATGCTCTTACAAAGATCATTGTTTGGAACGAAGATATGATAATGCCTCAAAAATTATTTCCAATTGTGATGTGTTAGTTAAAATGTAAAAGAAATATTTGCGCTGAAAGTCTGAATAGTATCTACCATGCGATCATCCCGCAGGGCTTAGGATCATTACACAGGGGACATTTGCAATTCTCTCTATATTTGGGTGGGACATTCAAACACTGCTGTGTAATAATTTTCTGCTGAGCAATTTGTCTTTTTACTTTAACAAGTTCTTAGAATGTGAAATAATTGTAACTGAAATTAATAAAATCCCAAAAACTGAGGTCAACTTCTGAGGTATTATGCTAAATGATACATCTGCCAATCATTGCAGGTTCATTCATGGAGTTACATGATCATCGATGAAGGACACAGGATAAAAAATTTAAAATGTAAACTCTTGAAAGAACTAAAGTATATTGAGGTGAATGCTATGCTGGTCTTGTTTGCAATGTTCAAAACCACCATCTTGAATCAAAATATTTAACCACTTGCTATTAAAAAGTACCGGCAGCTCGTCAAGACCGTGTTTTTTTAGCGCTTTAATCGCTAGGCCATCGCATCCAAAACTATAAAATTTACAAATATTGGTTAAATTACGAAAACAAGTCAATATTTATAACCATGCTTGAGAAGCTATCCAAGTGAAAAAAATTGTGTGAGCGAATGCCAAGATTGTAATTGTAATGTCATCATTTAATTATTGCTGATTAGACTTTGTTACAGAAATGAATGTCTGTGCTTGGGGGGGAACATCTATTAATTCATTTATTTTTTCCATTCAGTGTCAAGCGAGATTGCTTCTTACTGGTACACCTCTGCAAAATAATTTATCTGAATTATGGTCTTTATTGAATTTTTTGCTTCCTGAAGTATTTGATGATCTGAGAACGTAAGTTAATTAGGATAGAATTTTCATTTTTATCCCATGGATAAGCCGATAAGACTACTTTATCATATGTTGAATCATGGCCCCTCGTCAGGTTACCAGTTCATGAGATTGGTTAGCCACTTATTTGTCTCTGATGCACAGACTTCTGGTGGAGGAGGCCGCGAACTATCTTACAACAGAGAGGAGTCCAGCAATCCTCTCGCACATAATTATCCCCACTGGGATTGACCCGTGTAGGGTAATCAGAGATGTAATGGCGAGCCCATTCCTAATGCTTAGCACGATGCACCAAACCGGCGAGCTCTGATTCCGTATATTGTTATATTATACTATGATTTTTTTCAAGGAAAGTTTTTTCATAAAATATTATCTTTGATTATAAATCTTGTTTAGCTTTGAAACCTGGTTTGATTTGGATCGGTTGCAGAAGGACAAGAATCTTTTGTCAATGATACACAAGGTTGGCCCATACATGAAATTTTTTTTGTATATTTTCCATAATATTCTATTTTGTAAGGTGCCAGTTGTAGACAAATTGATCATTTCAAGCGCAAGGAATTCTATTGTTTTAGGCGGGGGAATTTAACTTTTGTTTTGTGTGTAGTATTACTTGTATCCTTTATTTTTTTACTACTATTGTAATACATATTCATGCACATATACCATTCAAACAGCACAAAAGCCAGAGTGCAAGTATTGAGTATCACTAGCTAATGATCAATCAAAGATTGATCAACAAACTAAACAATTTTAATGACATAACAAAAAAAGTGTACCTTTTTTTTTTTTTCAATACCAAAAATGTTGGCATTCTTCTGAGCTTTCGGAACTTGTCGCTATATAAAAGACTTTCAGTCAAATACGATTGGTAGTCGCAAATTTCCTTTTCCCATTTTTTTTCAATGCTTTATTTTCCCAATAATATTTTCATAGATTCTCACCCCTTTTTTACTCCGTCGTATGAAATGTGACGTCGATTTGAAGATTCCACCTAAAAAGGAACTGACTATATACGCTCCACTTACTTCAAAACAAGAACGATTTTACAGAGCGTTGGTGGATAAATCAATATTTGAATTAATGCACCAGAAAGAGGTAATGTTGCATCAAAATTTGATGTTGTGGATAGGGATTCAAGTATGTGCCATGATGTGAAAGTCGTACTCAGGGTAGTAAACCTCTATTTACATGCAATAATGAGTTCCTTTTATACCTACTATATCATGATATTCATGTGCCATTATGCGAAAAATAGACTTTGTAAAAATGCAAAAGCAAAAATTAGCATAGCTTCTCTTTCTTCACTTTTATACTGTTGTTTCATCAGACTTTTGAAAAAGCGAGTATTTAAAATTCAACTTCAAACAGTCATTGCACAATCATCAGATTCAAATCTCATGCCTCACCACCTCTTTTCTTTTATATACCCGACTGCTTGATAGAAGCAAAAAAATGTATTTTTTTAAATTCATTTACAGTATTATCAGACAACAATCGGTGTTGCTGATCCTGATTTGATTGCACAAAAACAAAACAGTCAAGAATTATTACCAGGTGTTTCTTTCATGAAAAGGCGATCAGCAAGAACTAAAGGTTCTTATATAACAACTCTGAAATTTCAAATTTAATTTTCTTGTTGGTATACCTACATTGTTTCGTCATAATTCCATTTTTCAGGTTGTATAATCAAGAATGGCTCAACGCAACGTGAATCTATCGTCAGCAATATGTCAATGAGTAATATTATCATGCAATTGAGAAAATGTTGCAATCATCCTTATCTTATTGAATATCCAATAGAAACGAGGACAGAAAATTTAAGGGTGAACATATTATCATAATTGTTTTATTTAATAATTAAAATTTATTATTCTTCATAAACCAGTGGCTCCGAAACTTTCATGATCTGTGGCCCTCTTACGAAGACTGTCAAAAATTGTGGCCCCCAGAGAACCACTCCATCGGCCTTAGGGGCCCAGTTAGGGAAACTCTGATCCAGAGGGTGAACCTTTAAATCTAGTCGAAATCAATTGCAATAAGTAATGGAAAATAATTTTATTCATTTTCAATTCTATTAAAATATTATCCTGTTTAGATTGATGAAGATCTAATTTGTACTTCTGGAAAGCTTAGAATTTTAGATCAATTACTTCCAGAGTTGAAGAAACGAGGACACAAGGTTTGATATGAATATATTATAATAAAGATTTTTATATTTATCCCGAGAAGCTAAAGGTCTTAATACCGACTTATTCAGTCAAGCCAGTGTGCCTGTGATGGCCTAGTGCTCAAGGCACTGGACCTAAAATGGCTTTCTTTCTATTATTGGCTGCTTGAAATAAGCCTTGTTCGTAGTGATACATGACTTATATAAAAAATCATGAATATGAACCATGACCTTTATATTTCATTATCACTACCGTTTAGCTATTTCTTGTCGCTTAATTATTAAAAATAGATAGGGAGGAGGCCATTATTGACTATCAGTTACAAGTCCCACCCTATTATGTCCACAAAGAGCCCAAATATTATTTGATAATTATTATTATCACCACAGTGTGGCACACACCTATAGAAGTTCTACTTCGCAAAGACACCAGGTGCAATATTCCATCGCAGTAAGACTGTAAATAATATTTGTGATGTATTTCCCAGGTTCTGCTTTTTAGTCAAATGACAAAAATGCTGGATATTTTGCAAGATTATTGTGAACTTCGAGGATATTACAATGTAAGAATTGATGGGCAAATGGGCAGAGATGAAAGAGTCAAAAGTGTAAGAAAGAGTTTTTCCATATCTGCATGTGACTTTCATAATTTAAAAAAGTATCTTTATATTCCCCCAAATGCTTTACAGCCCTCGGTATGTATACTTACTCAAGCTCCAAAATTGTTTTTTTCAGATGAATGATTTCACAATCGATCCTGAAATTTTTCTCTTTCTTCTATCTACAAGAGCGGGAGGCCTCGGAATAAATCTTACTGCCGCTGATACAGTGATATTATATGATTCAGACTGGGTATGTGGAAACCGTTACTTATGCAAATACTGACTAGCCCAGCACAAATATTTTAGCCCACTTACAGCACACTGGAATATGAACATTTTACTTTGTTGAGCTGGTAAATTTGGCTTTTAGCGTTCCTTGTATTTCAGAATCCACAGAATGATGCACAAGCGCAAGATCGTTGCCATCGTATTGGGCAGGTACGACCTGTTGTTGTGTATAGGTTGATTACAGCAAGCACTGTCGATCAACAAATTGTTGAAAGAGCATCGAAGAAACTGGCATTAGAGAAAGTTATTATGCATAAGGTTTGTTATCGATTTCTGTAGCTATTTTTCTTTTTTATGTCTTCACGGTTGTTTTAAAGAAGTTAATAGAATATAGAATAATGGATTAGACTTCACTGTGATCACATTGCCGGTTAAATCTTGGGTTAAGTCGATTGTAGGTTTTTCATACTCCAATGCCCTGGTTGAAATTATAGAAAGATTGCATTACGTATAGTGCCAATCAAATGTTTATTTTTATATAGACACTATTCAAGGGCAATCTTGAACAGGAATTAACTGATAAAGCCAGAATACATCCAGAAGAGTTGCTCCATTTGCTACAATCTTCCAAGGAATCAAGGTAACTCTGTCTTACCATAGTTATATAAGCTTTGTCTTTTTAACATCATGTTTGATGAAAATTCTAACCGAATTTTCTTATGGTTCCAAGTAAAATATGATAATGGTAAGCCGATTCATCGTCCAGATGCATCTAATTAAATGGTGCAAGAAGCTGTTGTTATCCATGACCAGTTGTTCGAATCGCGATGTGACAATCATCTCCTGTATAATTAACCCAAAAGCAGACCGGCTTAACTACTGCGGGGCTCCATGCGAAATGAATTGTGTAGGGATAGATTAATATATTACTCGATATTTTATCAACTATTAATTATTTTCATTTTATTAACCTACAACTTTATTAACATAGTAGAAAATTTGGAATAAGTTACTCACTCTAGTTTTTCACCAGTCTTGCATGTACAGAACAAACACGCTGACCCATACCTGATTATAATTTGTAATAGTTAAATCTAATAACTTAGAATTAGCGTGGGGCCGTGACCAGAGTAATTGTAATTGTAAATTCACGCAGGGTTATCATATGTGCGTAGGATAGGAGAGGAAAGCCGATAAGACGGCTTATCCATATGGCGAATCACGGCCTCTCGTCCGGTTACCATTCCAAGTCGGGTATGGGATTAGTTTTTACTGTATTGTTTGTTTTCGGAAGCATGGACTTGGTGGTGGAGGAAGCCGTAACCGACCAGCGGTTACGTGAACCACCCAACGATGGCGAGGAGTCCAGCAATCCTCTCGCACATGACCATCCCTGCATGGGATTCGAACCTGCGAACCCACGCAGAGTAATTAGAGGTGCGGTGGCGAGCGTATTCCTAACGCTTAGCCCGTTGAGCCACACCGCCGCGCCGCAAGTACGATCGCAAGTATGTCACTAACTATTTTCGTCTTGCTTCTGTTCAGCATATATTATATTTATGATTAGATGGTATACTTGGTTTTTGGTTTTCAGCGATAAAGATGACAATTCCTCTGGTATACTTAGCAAAGAAGAAGTTGATAAATTACTTGATCGCTCAGATATGTGGAAAAGTATGGAGTCCTTATGAAACTGTGTTTCAAATATAAGCTTGTTGGGACGTATTTCACAAAGAAATCATTCTTTATCTGCTGTAATATATTCAGAACGAAAAAAACCTTTCTTTTTCGTCATAAAAACTAAGATACTTGTGTTTTTGCTAATGTGGTGTTTGATATTGCACTTTGATTGTTTTTGAGTACAGAGTTTTTGTTTTAGATAATAGGTACCGTTGTTTCGAGTTCGTATATATATATGTATAGTAAAACAGATTAAAAAAATTTATGATCGTTGTTAGAATTTAGATTATTTGTTCGTTTTTGTTATTTTTTTCAATGAATTGAATGGAATTGTTACGCCTCGCTGTTGTCTGTTAAAAGAGTTTATTCCTGTTTTTCAAATGTTTTATTTATCAAAGTTTTCAAAGTAAAATTTATTATCTTTCAAATGTCTCAGCTGGTTTGAAGGCGGCGAAAATTCTATTAGTATTAGAAATGGACTTTTCCCCTAGAATTTATTTCCTTGTATTCTCGTAATATTTGCCAATCAGTGACGTGACAACTGGCATTTTTGTAGGCCCTCTGAAAAATTTTTTTTTCAATCGGACAGATTTTCGGACATATCTTGTCATAATATTCAGTTGCACCGAAGCTCCAGTGGTCTAGTAGGCTAAGTCTGCAAATGTACTGAAATTTAAAGATCGCATGTAAACGAAATTTGTGAGCGCCACTAAGCGAAAAATAACGTCGCAAGATTTGCACTCCGTATGAAGTAAGGAGATTTTTTCTGTGGTCAAGCGTCGACTAAACGTTTATTATATCTAGACTAGACCGTTTTCATAAGTATGCTCTGGCGTTTTATATATTGTGATCGTTTTGAATCGGTAAGAGAAATTTTGATCGTAGAAAACGTGAACAGATTTTGTTATCGGTGCGGCTCATTCTGTTCTAGTATGCCAGAATCTTTAGTTTTTAGTTCTTTATTAACAGTAGAACGAATATATAAAAAATATTTTGTACAGCAAACTGAATATAATTTATATACTATACCGAGACCAAGTCCTGTTAGAAGTATCCACATGCGACCGAGAGAGATATTTTTGAAACATAGGTATCTACAATTTAGTGTTTCGCAGTTTAGGTAAATCAGACATTCACTCTAAAACAGGCCTCGTACGAGCAACTGATGAAGTTGGCGATCTCCTGGTTTTGTTGAATATATACTTTGAGGTATATATATATTAGAGATGTACCGATACCATTTTTGTCGCCAATACCGATCCGATACCAGCTAAAAACGCCGATACTACAAAAAGGCCGATATTCCGATACCGATACTATGTAGTTATTACTTAATTAGGTATGCTGTGTAGGGCAGACGGGTTAAAACAATGGTCTTTAAGCGTTGTTCATAGTACACATTATTTCAGATCGAAAAAAAAGATATATATATCACATAATATGAAATTAATGTTTGGTATCCATATGCTGTAACTGAATAAGATACATTGTACAGTAACGCTAGTAATCTCGGTGTTCAATTAGAAAACTCATAAGCCGGGATGTCCAATTTGAATTTAATGTTAATATCGCGAGCTTCGAATATCGTTATTCGTGTTTAAAAGAATATCGAATATCACCCACACATTCTAGCGCCGCCGTCCTACGTTCAAATTAAAAGCATTTTATTTAATTTAGTGGCTAATCGTAATCGTCGACGCAATAAGTCAAAGCCAACATGAAAGAATATCAATCAGCACCGACAAAAAGAAGGCCCACCGATAACCGTTGAGGATGTTTTTTTACTTCACTATTTTATAACATTTTACAATTGCTATCATATATTTTGAGACAGTCTAGGGCTAGGCGGTCAAGTCAATATATCTATAAAGAAATCGTGTAGTTAAGCAGAATTAAAATTAATACCTGTGTAGTCGGATAATTGTGTCGTAATTTAGTTTATCGATGTCGACAGACTAAATGAAACTTGTACTTGACGACAAGCAGTCGGAATTTATACCCGTGCCAAAAGTCCATGTGCCGTTAATAGGGTAATGATGCCGTTAATATGTATGATTTAAAACTGGGCGCCTAGTTGCCTTTTGTTATGTGCTGTGTTGATATATTTCTTCATAAAAACTATGTAATATTAAAAATGTCAATATAAAAATTTGACATCGAAAATAGCCAAATTAGGTGAGCTAGTTTAGCTGATAAATAGCTAAAAACACGTGAATCCTATTCTCTCGCAGGGGTGGGGACATGTATGGCTCATAGCTCACGATCTCTTCAGACAAAAATAAATTAAAAAGTAGTATTCCAACTTATCTTTTAAAACATTCTGGACCATATCAAAAAGGTAAATATATCGGTAATATCGGCCTTAATCTAACCGATACATGGCCGATACCGAAAAAATGGCCGATATCGCCGATACCGATACATCGGTACATCTCTAATATATATATGAAATGAATTTTTCTTCCCGCAAGCGAAATTGAAGGTATTATGCTGTACCATGTAAAAGTTGGATGTTACTAGCAAGCAGTTAATAATACAAGGGCGGCCGGCCATAGCTAGTAAAAACCCGGGTTGTAAAACCTCTAAATCAGGGGTCGGCACCTTTCGTCACTCGCGGGCCAAAACTAGGTCATTTGCGGGTCGCACATATTTTTAGAAAGTTGAAAACCGAAAGGATGATACTTTTTATATAAAAAAAAAATCAAGCAGTGATACATCTCTAGAGTAGAATATATATAGATTTATTTCCTCATTGCATCTCAAAAAATATCCATTTGAATATTTTCGACGCTATTGACCCTTTGCACTTAGCATCAACTTTTCTGCGTTTTGTTGCTATTTGTCCAATTATAATTAAATTATAGGCTCATTAAACGAGTAATTGAGAATTATATAGTTGTTAGGTTATAATAAACTTAGTCTACACGTGTCTCGCAATAAATTCTGTTACGTAAAGAAACAAGAGAGCTATGCTCAAATATATGGACACGTAGAGTCACATAATTTTGATGACGTCATAGCGAAAAAAAAAGTAATAGCCTTCTGGAGAAAATTTTTATCTTTAACCACTGAAAATTTCAAAGCAATTGGTCCAGTATTCGAAGAGAAAAGCGACTTTTTAAAAACGTGTCAAAGAACAACAACAACAACATAATATTGAAACGATCGTTATGTCCACTACGTGTCTAACAAAGAGATGAGAGCTGAATTCACGGCGGTACCGGTACCTAACGTAGGTGCGGTACTGAGTTAGCAGTCAGCCAGCATCTTACCTGTACACTGTAGGCCATATACGGTAATTGATCACAGAACAGTTGTTCCCTTGCAAATTTTATGTTGTTTACACTTTAGGACAGATAATTGATCACAGAACAATTCTTCCCTTTCAAATTTTATGTTGTTTCCAGTAGACTCTCATCAAAATAAACAAATATAGTAGGCTACAAGTGCTACAACGCTTGCATTACTGCACTGGTAGGACCGTGAAAGAATAAGTTACGGTAATTACATTGTGGTAAGACACCGGTACCGGCACCAGTACCAGTATCGTACTTACGTACTGAGCTACCAGTACCGGTTAGCAGTCAGCCAGCATCTTACCTGTACACTGTGTGCCATATACGGTAATTGATCACAGAACAGTTGTTCCCTTGCAAATTTTATGTTGTTTACACTTTAGGACAGATAATTGATCACAGAACAATTCTTCCCTTTCAAATTTTATGTTGTTTCCAGTAGACTCTCATCAAAATAAACAAATATAGTAGGCTACAAGTGCTACAACGCTTGCATTACTGCACTGGTAGGACCGTGAAAGAATAAGTTACGGTAATTTCATTGTGGTAAGACACCGGTACCGGCACCATTACCAGTATCGTACTTACGTACTGAGCTACCAGTACCGGTTCTGATATTCCGTTCCGCATACGATAGGCTATAAAACTTGCATTGCAGCATTAGTAATACCGCGGAAGGAATAAGTCAATTTCACTGCGTTACGGTATCGGTATGGCAACTTACCAGTACCGACCTACAGTAGCTGTAGTACTGAGCAAGACAATCGATCGCGAAACCGCTTGAAATAAGTGTAAAACAGTGTTCCCATGAGTAAAAATAAATACCGCGAAATTTTGTATGAAATATCATATCTCATAGGATTCATATAAAATTTAAGAATAAATAAAAGTAATAGCCTTCTGGGGAAAAATATATTCTTTACTCACTGAAAATTTCAAAGCAATTAGTCCAGTAATCAACGAGAAAAGCGATTTTTTCATAACGATACCAAGAAGAAGACAAATAAGAACAAGAGAGCTATGCTCAAATATATGGACACGTAGAGTCACATAATTTTGATGACGTCATAGCGAAAAAAGAAGTAATAGCCTTCTGGAGAAATTTTTTATCTTTAACCACTAAAAATTTCAAAGCAATTGGTCCAGTATTCGAAGAGAAAAGCGACTTTTTAAAAACGTGTCAAGCGGTACTGAGTTAGCAGTCAGGCAGCATCTTACCTGTACACTGTAGGCCATATACGGTAATTGATCACAGAACAGTTGTTCCCTTGCAAATTTTATGTTGTTTACACTTTAGGACAGATAATTGATCACAGAACAATTCTTCCCTTTCAAATTTTATGTTGTTTCCAGTAGACTCTCATCAAAATAAACAAATATAGTAGGCTACAAGTGCTACAACGCTTGCATTACTGCACTGGTAGGACCGTGAAAGAATAAGTTACGGTAATTTCATTGTGGTAAGACACCGGTACCGGCACCAGTACCAGTATCGTACTTACGTACTGAGCTACCAGTACCGGTTAGCAGTCAGCCAGCATCTTACCTGTACACTGTAGGCCATATACGGTAATTGATCACAGAACAGTTGTTCCCTTGCAAATTTTATGTTATTTACACTTTAGGACAGATAATTGATCACAGAACAATTCTTCCCTTCCAAATTTTATGTTGTTTCCAGTAGACTCTCATCAAAATAAACAAATATAGTAGGCTACAAGTGCTACAACGCTTGCATTACTGCACTGGTAGGACCGTGAAAGAATAAGTTACGGTAATTTCATTGTGGTAAGACACCAGTACCGGCACCAGTACCAGTATCGTACTTACGTACTGAGCTACCAGTACCGGTACCGAACCTGTAGGTCTGATATTCCGTTCCGCATACGATAGGCTATAAAACTTGCATTGCAGCATTAGTAATACCGCGGAAGGAATAAGTCAATTTCACTGCGTTACGGCACCGGTATGGCAACTTACCAGTACCGACCTACAGTAGCTGTAGTACTGAGCAAGACAATCGATCGCGAAACCGCTTGAAATAAGTGTAAAACAGTGTTCCCATGAGTAAAAATAAATACCGCGAAATTTTGTATGAAATATCATATCTCATAGGATTCATATAAAATTTAAGAATAAGCAAAAGTAATAGCCTTCTAGCGAAAAAATTAATCTTCAACCACTGAAAATTTCAAAGCAATTGGTCCAGTATTCGAAGAGAAAAGCGACTTTTTAAAAACGTGTCAAAGAACAAGAACAACAACAACATAATATTGAAACGATCGTTATGTCCACTACGTGTCCAACAAGAGATCAATGCTCAAATATATGGACACACAGAACAATTCCCCAAAAATCATATGCGGTGACCAACGACTAACATACCGGCGGTGACTTACCAGTACCTGTATCGGGGTACCGTGACGGTACAGGGACTGTCATAGATATTTTAGGTCCTGTGACAATTGAAACATCAGTTGAAATATCTCGTGATATGAGTCAATTATGTACCGTATTATCGGATTAGGTACCGAACCACAGTCAAACATTTCACATAAAAACGTTACTAAATAACATGCGTCAACTTAACACCAGCCGAATCGGGGTACAATTTTTGGTACAGTGACTGTCATAGCCGTTTAGGGCTGATGGACAATTCGACTACACGGACAACTCACCAGGCCTAGGGTGGTGTAGCCAGTCTGCGGACAATTTCATTCAAACCGCTATAAAACAAAAACCAATATATCTAACCCGTTGATTTTTTCACCGTGGGTGCATTGGCGGCATTTATTCTACACGCTAAACCTCG